TCTGTGGTGCTGTCGTACAACTGGGTCGCAGTGGCGACTTCATTCTTGCTGCTCTCCTGGTAAAGTCATTATGCCTTCACGCAGAAGAGCATACAGCCTTGTCCAACTAGTCAGCGTGACAGGCTGTGCTTGGACCCCCAAACCGGCTTGCTGTTGATAACGTCTTGCATGTTGATACGCCTCCTGCGGACTTGTCCCCCAGTAGGGTCTGCAGATTGCATACAGATTACGTTCGGGTCTTATTCAAAGTGTCCCAAACTTCGTCTTGGAAGACGCCCACCTTCTTAAGCGCAAGCTATTAACAGCCCGACGACCGTTTGTTATCTCTTCCAGAATGGCATCCGATGGTGCCCTGGGTGTGGATGTGCATGGGCCGGACAAGGTAAGAACGGGGTTGGACTGCGTCTGACTGAAGAACTGGCACCAATGGTGCACGTTTCTCACATTTACACCAAGTCGCGTTCCATGCCTGTTCTATTCCCCATGGTGTTAACCTTCTGCAGAAGCGTCAAAAGCTGGCAAAATTGACGGGGTTGGGCTTCGCCAGGGACATGGCCGAAGTCATCGTGGAAACGCTTGGGATGGACCCCATCGGGCAGTCGGCCGATGCCGGAGCAGGACTTCCTTGTGTTTGAGTTTGGTTAGCTATGGGACGCGACTTATAAGCAGAACTTCCTTGTGTTTGAGTTTGGTTTGCTATGGGACGCGACTTGCAAGCAGAACTTCCTTGTGTTTGAGTTTGGTTTGCTATGGGACGCGACTTGCAAGCAGAACTTCCTTGTGTTTGAGTTTGGTTTGCTATGGGACGCAACTTGCAAGCAGAACTTCCTTGTGTTTGAGTTTGGTTAGCTATGGGACGCGCCTTATAAGCAGAACTTCCTTGTGTTTGAGTTTGGTTTGCTATGGGACGCGACTTGCAAGCAGGACTTCCTTGTGTTTGAGTTTGGTTTGCTATGGGACGCGACTTGCAAGCAGAACTTCCTTGTGTTTGAGTTTGGTTTGCTATGGGACGCAACTTGCAAGCAGAACTTCCTTGTGTTTGAGTTTGGTTTGCTATGGGACGCGACTTGCAAGCAGAACCTCCTTGTGTTTGTTTGAGTTTCCATGTAAGCAACTATGGACAACTAAACCATCCTGTTTTGCAGTCCTGTCAGTTTCCAAGTTCTGCACCTGCAGCCTCATTTTACAGCAGAACACCCAATTCTAATCCTCCAACTGTGTTCCCAATCCTATGGCAGCGACCTCATCCTAAACTTGCGAAAGCCTGCAATCCCCGTCCTGTCGACCAGGGTCCCATCCCCATCCCTGGCCAGGGCTCCCAATCCCCTCCTTGGTCAAGGTTGCAATCCCCATCCCTCAGACAGGGATCCCATCCCCATCCTCACCCCCGACAGCAATCCCCATCCCAAAAGTAGTGTAGCACGCCTAATCCCTAATCCTCGCCCTGGGCCCCACATCCCATCCTGACGTCGTCAACCCTATTCCCCATCCCGCCTGACCAGTACCTGCCCCCAATCCCCCATCTCTGCAACCCTCTGGCCCAAGGGCAGTATCTATACGCCTAAAAGCCACGGAGAACAGGAAACACCGCACATCAGCCCAGACTGGCGTCCAGAGGGGATAACTGAGTTTCGGTGAGCCCACATACGTTCCAACATCCTCGCCAGACGTACTGGTTCCCATTTCATGGCCTCCAACATGCTCTGTTGATGATCGAATCCCTCTTCAGCACGAATATCATTATAGGCTGGGCACTCCAATAACACGTGTTTTCATCCTCGATTCGGCTATTAGTACCACAACAGCGGCAAAACCGCCGCTCCCTGGGGACATGGTACTTGCCCCTTCGTGCTCTGTTTGCCTCCAAAGCCCAGCAACATAAACGAAACCGCATTAGCTTAAGATGTGCTAAATGAGGAAATGAAAACCTTAGCATGTGTTGGCCACATGACGGCTGCGACCCCATCCAGTGCTTATACTTCGCCATTTGCACTCCCGGTTGCTTCCCATCTGATGGGTACTCCTCTGGCAAGACAGTCAGACGCGCATGGTCCCAGGCGCTCATCAAACGCTCCCTTAGTTCCGTTATCACCGCTCCTTCGGGGAGAGGTCTACTCAACAACCAGTCAACACGCTCCTTTACCCCCATGACTTCTTGCGGTATTCCGCTCCAAATATTGCACTCCAAGAAGGAAAACAGTCGTAACATTGAGGTTCCCCAACCCTCCCATTCCGGGTTGGTCAGAGCATCGGTCATCTCCTGCCGTAAAACTGCATGAGCAATGGACCCCAAGCGAGCGCTATCTTTGGCAGGTATTATCTGGCCTGATAGCCGCAACTGTTGACATCTCTCGCTAAGTTCCGACTGCTGGGTGCCATCACATGCAAAAACAAGCCTTTCACACTTTGAGACATTTGGTCGCATCCCAAAGGCTTCGCAAAACAAGTCCACAACATGAAGCATTCGCTAGTGACGTCGCTAGCAGACTAATATCTTCTGCGTACAGCAGTATGGAGACGCGCTTGCTGTCAACAAGGGGTGTGTCATGCTTACGTACTCCAGCTTCTACAAGGTCATGAGTATCAATCGGATCAGCTAGTGCCTCAATGAAGAGTCCAAACAACTCCGTAGATAAAGGACACCCTTGCTTCACTCCTTGCTTAGACTCAAACTCTCCTCCCACTTTCTCATTTACCTTCATCACCATGGACACCTTCTCGTACGCTTTTCTCAGAGCACCTAGCATGGGGCCGCTAATCCCCCTCTCCTGCAACCGAAGCCACATGTGCTCGCGAGGCACCCTATCTAGAGGGTAGGACACACTGTCGGGCAGAGCAATTCTTTTGACTGCCCCGGTCGCACAATTCCCGTGCTTCCCTAATTCGACACCCTGAACATGCTAATTCTGACTGTCCGAATGTCCCTGCCAGGCCAATTCGACACCCTGTCAACCTAATTCTGACTGTCGGAATCTCCCGCCAGGCTAATTCGTATCCCTGTCAGGCTAATTCTGACTGTCGGAATGTCCCTGCCAGGCCAATTCATATCCCTGTCAGGCCAATTCAAGGGCCTGTCCCGGCAATTCAACTTGTCCCAGGTGCCAATTTAAACCCTTCTACCGAGCAATTTAGACCAATTGCAGGGTCTGCCCCCAAACTCTCAGGCACGCATTCAGAATCGCGGAAGTTGAAGGAACTTTACGAAACAAGGGGAGCACTTACAAATATCTCTCGTGTGTTTGTTGGTTTCAAATCCGTACATGCTTGTACGGTAACAAGGCGTGTGGGGCTCC